ACTGTGCCTCCAGCTCTGGGGGCGGGTGGTGGTACTCAGCGTGTTATTCTGTACGGCTGAACGTCAAAGGGAGCATAACATGGGGCAGCCTGTGCAACGGGAACTGCAAAGCTTCTGCCATCCTCATCAAACCCATCACCTACTGCTAGGGCTTCATCGCTGCCTGTCTGCAGCGGGCACCTTGCCAGACCAGTGCTCTGCGGGCGCTTTGCTGGGCGGGCAGTGGAGTGGGTGGCAGCGGGGCTCACCCCAGGCTCCCCAGAGATTTTTCTTTCTCTTTTGCAGAGCTCCTCTGCTTCCCTTGCTGGGTTCTTTCCCTTTGATCTGTTTTTATTTTAATTCCTTTATAATCAGACTAACATATTGCAAACCCTGTACTTCTGAAACATACCTGCTCTGGAGAATAAAATGTGCTTTAGAAACACAATGCCTGGATCAGCCTCATGGGAAAATGTCCTTATTCTTAGCTGCATAAAGAACCAGTCCCTTTCTCTTCAGGGTTTCTGTCACCCCGTCATTAGCTGGGGAGGGGGGGGAAGGATAAAGGTTCCTTATTTCCTAGTAAAACTGAATTAACCCCACTTGCTGAAGATGTGGCCTTGACACCTACACCTGGAGGGGTGTTTTCACCCACACTGGCTCTCAGTTCAGTTCTTGTTGAAACCTCCAGTAAAATCCTGTGTCTAAAAGAACACCTACAACCTGCAAATACCTGCTCGGTATCTCCAGCGTGTTTGTATGGGCGGATATGGAGTGAGCAGCCGTGCTAGGGCAGTGCCAGGTTTCTTATGAAAGAAATCTGTGGGATTGCAGGGAAAACACCAAATAGGGAATTAATTTTAATAAAATGCAGTTACATTTAAATAAAGAAACTGCAAATTTTTGGTGCTGGAGAAGCTTCAGGGAAGGACAGGTAGCTCCAAGTGCTTTGCACGGGGCTGCCTGGTGCCTGCACAGGGCGTCACCCAGTGCTCCCACTATTGCCCGGTGCTCCCACGGGCTCATCCAGGTGCAGTCCCACCGCAGCATGCTGGCACCCTCACCACGGGGCAGGGTGGGCGAACACGGGTCCGGCTCGCTGGGGAGGAGGTGCCGCCCTGAGCCCCATGTGCTCCCTGGCCTCTGGCCAAAACACATGGCCAGCCGGGTCACAGAATCACAGAATCACAGAATCAC